GGTTCAGCAAGGTACTCTGTTCTCACTCCCTAGAAGCGAGTTTCAGGTCAGAATTTGAGGCCAAAGATTTTTAAAGCTTTTGTGTCAAATCACTGCAAAATGAGCTGGTAAAGTGTGATGATCACAGACACAGTGAGTCTCTAATCATAGATCATTTTACACACAGCAAACAGGTCATTGTATCACTAGGTCACTCATTGATTTTTAAAGCTTTTGTGTCAAATCACTGCAAAATGAGCTGGTAAAGTGTGATGATCACAGACACAGTGAGTCTCTAATCATAGATCATTTTACACACAGCAAACAGGTCATTGTATCACTAGGTCACTCATTTTTAGTACCTCAAATGGGTATTTGAAGCCCTTGTTGCAAAAATAGGAATCATTTACTGAATTGAAAAAAAGTTGCAGAGCAATTACTTAAATGAATGGTAAGGAAGAAACCCTTATATAGTATCATATGTGTCACCAGGTTGTACAGCAACCATCCCGTCATCTCAGGGGCGACGGTTCCAGAGTGCAGGTTGCCATTGTCCACCTTGGGTGACTCGGGGCCCCCTCGTGCAGGACGGAGTAGGGGGATGTGGTGGGGCCTTGAGCTCTGGCCTCCCCAGGCCGAGGCTTGCAGGGGAGTCCAGTGAACTCAGTTCTTCACAATCCCACCCAGAGCTGCCTGTCAGCCCCTTCTCATCAAGATGCAGCTGGGTGTCGGGCCAGGGGACTGAGGCAGACCCACTCCCTGTCTAGCCCCAGAGGCTATACCGGACCTCAGTGGTATCACAGGTTCAGTTCCAGATCACCACAATAAAGTGAGTCACATGAATTTCTTGGTTTCGTGGTGCATAGCAATGTTATGTTTACACCATACTGTAGACTGTTAAGTGTGCAATAGCTTTATATCCAAAAGAATAATGTGCATAACTTAATTTTAAAATAACGCTGTTGGGAAAACGGCGCTGTTAGACTTGCTCAGTGCAGGGTTGCCACAGACCTTCAATTTGTAAAACACGCAATAAAGCAAAGCACAATAAAAAGGGATGTGCCTGCAGTTGGTCCCATGCTCAGTCTTGTTCGCGGACAGGCCAGGTCTTCGTGTGCCCGGGAACGTGCGTGACCTCAGCCTGCATGTGTAGTAGGTCAAGACGGGATGGACAGGACACGAGAGGAGAGTGTTTAGCCCTTGACCTGTCAGGCTCAGAAGACAGGCCCTCCAAGGTGTGGCACCCAGGCTGGAGGGACAGTCCTGCCACCCCTCAGGCTCAGCCTGACGCCTCTCACCAGAGCCCACTCCCCCCGCCCCACCCCAACAGGCTGTTTGACTGGCTGGTATCGGTGATCAACAGCAGCATCTGTGCGGACCCAGATTCCTGGACCACTTTCATAGGTAGCAGGGGCTCATCCTCCAGGAACCCTCCTTCAGAAAAAGGACAGGAGGGCCCGGCACAGAGAGCAGAGCCCTGGGTCTACTGCGGGACTCCGGGCACCTCCTTTCCCTCCTCTGCACCCATCTCCTCACCCTCCACCAGTATGTTGGCGAGGTCTGTGCTCTCCGGTGCCCGCATCTGACCGTCCCTAGCCCTCCAGGCAGGCTCAGCTGGCGGCCGGGCCACGAGGGCCCCTCCTCTCCCCGGAGACCCAGCTCCGGTCTCAGGAGAGTAGTGGGGGACGGTGAAGGAGCTAGATTAGAAGGGACATGGGGGACATGGTAACATTGGAACCTGCTAGGGGAGGAAGTAAAGCTCAGAAGCGGTGGTGAAGTTTGCTCACAGAATGGTGGAATTCTAGGCACCAACTGAGCGCATGAGACTCAGGCCGTCCAAACGGGATTGGACACACAGCGTTCCCCAGGACCTGGTCCCGTGACACCTCATTTAGCCTCTTCCTGCTCTGAGCTCTGAGGGGACAGGAGGCTGCCCTGGGAACCACGCTAGGGTGGGAGGTGCTCTGCTCACCGCTGGGTACCGTGCTCGCCCCGCCTCAGCTCTGGGCTGCCAAGCATGAGGCTTTACCCTGGGCTCCTGTCGTCCCGCGGGCCCCGCCTCCTCCTGCACTGGCCCCACGGGGTCTCCCCTTCCTGCCAGGCTTGCTGGACGTGTACGGGTTTGAGTCGTTCCCCACCAACAGTCTGGAACAGTTGTGCATCAACTACGCCAACGAGAAGCTGCAGCAGCACTTCGTGGCTCACTACCTCAGGGCCCAGCAGGTGAGGGGTGGGGTGGTCCTGCATTCTCTCTTTCTCCCTGGCCCCCAGCCCCATCCCTGGATCTGACCAGGCGTCTTCGGTTCCTTTTTTCACACCGCTCTGGAACGGGCTGTGGTGCTGAGGCCAGCCGTGGGATGGCCAGCTGGACCTCAGACTGCAGTTGCCTTCTGCCACCGCACTCCCACCTCTGCCCCCAGGAGGAGTACACAGCTGAGGGCCTGGAGTGGTCGACTCTCAGCTACCAGGACAACCAGACCTGTTTGGATCTCATCGAGGGGAGCCCCGTCAGCATCTGCTCCCTCATAAACGAGGTGGGGGGGGTCAGCTAGTGTGCAGAACACCCGAGTGGGGCTTTGGGCTTCTCTGGGAACTTGAAGACCATCTGTGCCCTCTGTGTGCCTCTTTCTCTCCATCTGCATAATGGGTTTGCTAGCCCTATAACCCCTCCTTTTCAGGGTCACTGTGATGCTCCCATGGGTCCATGGGGTGGGGACTGTGAGGGTTGTGAGCCCCTCTCACCTTGTGGCTGACCACCTGTCCCATCCCGACCCATGCAGGAATCCCGCCTTAATCGGCCCAGCAGTGCAGCCCAGCTCCACACACG